GCCCGCGCCCCTCAGCTCCATCGCGGGCCGCTGACGTCGCGAGTCCGGGGGGAACAGGGCGAATCGCTGAGCCGCCGCCAGGGCGCCCCCTCCCCCCCACCCGGCTTTTGTTTCCGACTCGCAGCGTGGAGAGGTTCGACCTGCGCCCGACCGCGACCCCGACCCCGTCCGGGACCCCGACCCTGACCCGGACTGCGGAGGAGAGGCGGGGCCGGAGAGAGCCCTGCGGAGCCGGCTGAGCAGAGGCGCAGCAAATGGGCAGGACTGGAGATAACCGGATCGAGACCATCTCCCTCCCAAACCCAAAACAAAACCGGAGCGCGGGCGCCCAAGCATCTCGAGCTCACGACCCCCGCCTGCGTGTTAGAGGGGCCTGGGCGGATCATAGGCTGGGGAAAAAAGTTTTGTTTCCAAGTATGGAGTTGGGGGTGGAATGGGAGAGAAGTTACTGTTCCTATGAATCTCCTCCAGTTTACAAAGCCTCAGGCCTTAGTTGAGACGCAGAAGAATAATCCTAAGTATTATATTAGGTGGATTTAAGGATCTCCACTTCACTGGGAGATGAGAGAGACTCAGAAGAGCTGAGGGATTTGCAGACACACCCTTTTCCTGTAAAGGCTGGCAGAACTCAGTTTCCAAAGCAGTGATTCATTGTACTAGCAGTATAATGAAATAGAAGCTGCAGGTGAGGCTTAAACTTCCCAAGCGTCTTTTGCGGACATTGCTGTGTCCAGTAAACATCCTATCCTGTTTGCACACTGGTGCAGGCGATGGAAGAGCTTGGTGCCCACAGCATGACACCCCTGGGGAGCCCCTGCAGTTTCCTCCTGCCCAGATCTGCTACACAGTCTGTGGGACACATTTCAGTAACCTTCCGACATGTGATGGGAAGAAATTGGGAAGCCCTATCTGAGTAATGGGTTTATTGTGCCTCAGCGTCCTCAGTCAAATCACTCAATTTCCTTTAGCCTTGATCCCTCTGCGTATTGGTGAGGGAAGAACTGCCACTTCCATCGAGGAAATATGAGATGATCTGTGAAATTCCTTCGATGATAAAAGTACTGTCCTGTAGAGCTAATTATGAGATAATAAACTAATACACATTGCCTGGCTGGCTGTGGTGGCACATGCCCGTAATCCTAGCAGTCTGGAGGCTGAGAGTTCAAGGCCAACCTGTACTACAAAGCAAGGCTCTGTCCCCAAAACCAAAACAACCCCCAGTAAATATTGTCTGACTTACTGTAGGTCTCCAATAACCACAAAATAAAAACCCAGTTACAGAAGAGCAGGAGAAAAGGAAAACCCCTCTTTCTGGGGTTTGACACCACCACATACCCAAGTGGAGGGGTTGGTTAGGCTTATGGTTCTGAGGGATGGAGGCTATATGGGCTTTTTCTGGTATCTGTCAGGCTGAGGGGGCTGTGTGTGTGTGTCTCTTCCCAGACCCACTATCCTAATATTCCACTCAAACTTGTTAATTCCTCTATTTCAAACTAATACAGAACTTAATCCTTTCAAAATATTGTCATTTCTTTAAATCTTTAGTGCCACCTTGTGAAGCTTATAGAAAAAATATTAATATTCCCTCTTGGGAAATGTGGAAACAGGGCAGGGCAAAGCTACTCGTTCAAATTTACACATTACTGGTTTAGTGGATTAGACTCAAGACTCCCAACTTCCAACTGACCCTTTAGAGTCTGCGTGCGTTTGTGTCTGTGCGCGGGTGCGCACACATTTCCCAGACCACCTATCTCCTCTCCTTCCCACTATACTATATTTTCTTACTCTCCTGCTTAAAAGGTCATGAGAAAGAGTGAGGAGGATTGCTAGAGTCTGAGTTGTACAGTGAGACCCTGTACCAAATACATAAAAAAAAAAAAAATGAGAAAATCAAGGATTTTTCATAAATAAGGAAGCAAAGTGCTCCATAACGAGAGCTGGGTAGGAATGATTTTGGATCGTGGCTTAAATGGGTTGGGGTTTTGCCTTGGGGCAGAGCACTGGCCTGTTCCGCGGGTGAGAGTATGGGTTGGTTCTCAGCACTGCCGCAGAAAACCAAAAAGTATAGTTTAAGTAGATTTTGGCTTAGAGGAAAGAAATAACCCATGACTTGCCCCATCTTCTTCCTTTCCTGTAACTTTTACTTAGTTAACGTCTTTTCGTCCCCCATATGCAAAGTACTAGTTTCCTTGTGCACTGCCTCACACAGGAGCTAGAGCTTTTGAAAAACATCAGGCAGAAGACCCATAAAAAATAACCCTCCAAAGTAATTTTCAGATTCTAGAGCAGATGCATGTGGGCTGCAGAAGCTCCTCTGCCTGTCTGCTCCCTAAGATGTTACGTAAATCTCGGGCCGGCTTGCTCCCCTCCTTATTGACCTGCACGGCAGCACTGCTCTGCCCTGTCGCCCCACCTCCCTCAGCACCCCTGCCACCTTGCAGCCCCCCTTTGCAGGCCACACTCCTCCCAGCCTGTGCCCAAAGCCGATCATTCTCTCCCCAGGTGGACATCAGGGCACCTGAATTTAAATGGATGTGAGACTTGTTTCCAAAGACTAATGCTTAAGTGAGAAATCAGAGCAAGCATGTCTGGGTTCTTTACACATTTTTCTAGCACTATCTTCCCTATAAGCTTGACACCACCACACACCCAAACCACAAAAATAACTTGCAGGCTTCTTTTGACTTTGGCGGAGATAAGATGCTGGGGTTACTTCCCTAACTACGGGTATGCATGAGATGCCGCTGCCAGTGGCTTTATTCCTCAGTTGAATATTCTATAAGAAATGCTACTTATGGGAGAAAGAAAGAAGCCACCAGAGGTAAAAGCTTGTGAACTGCTGCTTGTAGGTTTACTGGGCAGAAACTACAGTTAAGAATACCCTTGGGGGGGCCGGGGAGATGGCTCAGTGGAATAAGCACTTCCCTGGCAAGCGCAAGGGCCTGAGTTCAATACCTGGTTCTGCAAAAAAAAAAAAAAAAAAAGTAAATTTCCTAAGAATACCCTTGGCTTTTGTAAATGAGACATAAAGGTTTTTTTATTTTTATTTTTCTTTTGTACACGGTTTCACTATGCAGCTCAGACTTGTAGTGATGCTCCTGTCTCAGCCTCCCCAACGCTGGGATTACAAGTGTGTGCCACCATGCCCAGTTTCGGTGGCCAGCACAGCATGCCCATGGCAAGCCTGCATGGCATGCATTACTGGGATTGAACCTCAGTCTTTGTGTTTGCCAGGCAGGTGCTTAGACTGCTGAGCTATCTCCCTAGCCCAGACATAAAGGTTTTGACTGAGGCATTTCAGTCTATGGAGAAGAGGATCATTAAAAGCATATAAGACATTAATTTTATGCTTTAGAAACAGGATCTGTAGTACAAGACTGACCTTGAACTCACTATGTAGCCCATGCTAGCCTTGAACTTGCCTCGATCCTCCTGTCTGTGCCTCCCAGGCACCGGTGTTATAGGTATGCACCACCATGCCTGACTTTAAATTGGTTTTTAAAGGAAAAAAATGAAGGACCAATAATAATGGAATCAGTTCTGTAAATCATAGGTAAAAATAGAAATCTTTGATTTTAGCAAGGAAATGACAAAATCTGATGTTATAAAATGAGCCCTAAGGCAAATCTCATTTTTTGGATTTCTTGATATTGTTTTTTTTTTTTTTTTTTTTTTGGCGGAACCGGGGATTGAACTCAGGCCCTTGCGCTTGCCAGGGAAGCGCTTATTCTATTGAGCCATCTCCCCGGCCCCTTGATATTGTTTGTTAAAAGGCAAATGGACACCAAAAGAAAAAAAAAATTAAAAAAAAAATCGGGGCTGGAGAGATGGCTCAGTAGTCTAAAGCACCTACTTGAAACAAGCCTGGCAAAGCACAGGGACCGTGGTTCGATCCCCCAGCACCACATGCCAGCCAGCCCCGCCCCCTGGTGGGCTGAGCTGGCCACACACACACACACACACAATAAATAAATGTAATAAATAAAAATAAAAAATAATTTAAAAAAAAATCAATCCCCGGTTCCACCAAAAAAAAAAAAAAAAAAAAAGGCAAATGGAAGCAAGTGAATAATAAAGAATAATATAAGAAAAGCCTTATTTTTCTTGTTCCAGAGCTATTTTGCTAAGAAATGTGAAAACATGTAATCCACTCGAAGGAAGGTGGTTTCCATTTTTTATTTTAAGAGTATATAATAAGCAAAACATTGCATTTATAAAATATTGCCACCTGAAGTACAAACTTACTCAGGACCTTACCAAAAAAAAAAAAAAAAGATTAAAAAATTACCAAAAGGGACTATAGAGACAGAAAATAGAAAAGAACTTGGATCTTAGCTATAATATGGGTGGAAGCTTAAGGGCTTCATATGAATGTGTATATGAGCTATGGGGGAAGTCCAGAAAAGGGAGACAAAATAACCTTCCATTTTTGTCTCTTTTTGAACCACTGATTAGTGCAATGGGAGGGTTGGAAGAAATTTGATCAATTTGCATATAATTCTGTATCTCTAACTTGGAGACAGGAATCATTTTATTTACTATTACTAGTCAGATTATATAGAATAATTACTATGCATTGGGTTCTAAGCACTTTACATGTATTGCATTTAATCCTTAAAATCCTATGAGGGCTGGCCAGATAGCTGAGTGGATTAAAGCGCCTGCTTAGGCAGAATTAGGGACTGGGTTCGATCCTGGTGCCATGCTGGCCCTGTGGCTGGGGGCACGCTGAGACACTGGGTGCGATGGGGCACACCTGTAATCCCAGTGCTTGGGAGGCTGAAAACAGGAGGATCTGTGTAGTGAGATCCTGCAGACCCTGTACTAAATACATAAAAAAAGAATCCTATCAGAAAAGTACTATTATTACTCCCATATTATAGAGATGAGGAAGCTGAGGTACAAAGAGATTAATACTGCCAATGCAGCATAAATATGACAGATTTGACCCTAGGCTGACTGTTCCTAGAGAATATCAGCATAAGAAAAAAAAAAAAGTGGGGCGTGGTGGCACATACTTATAATCCCAGCACTTGGGAGGCTGAGGCAGGAGGAACATTTTGAATTCCAGACCAGCCTGGGTTACAAAATGAGTTCAAGGCAGCCTGAACTGCATAGTGAGATCCTGCCTCAGAAAGACAAAAAAAAAGAAAAAGAAGTTACCAAAAAATACACATACACTCTTCCTGTAGGCCAAGGAGGGACTGGGCTGTGGTATTTTGCTATGGTGATTTGAAGATGCCTTAATATTCTGTTCATCACTTTCTGTGGCCTCTAAGAAGAGCAAAAGTGACACTAAATTTGCGGTTGGCTTGGCCCGCTTCAGATGCTGAGTGGAAGGCAAAGCCGTCGTCACCCATTTGGCGTGAAGTCATCTCAAATCTCATCTCATGAATCCCCAACCACAAACCCCAAAGAAATAAAATCAAACCTCTTAAGCCTAGTCACAAAGTGAATTTTTATTGTAGTCATTACATGGTTCCTTAGTGCCACAGAAAATGGCAATGGAGGGACAACAAGGTTTGGATGGCTCTTGAAAGAAACATGGTGAGTTCTCAGATACACACTGCACGGGAATGTGGTTAATGGTCAGAAGGGCTCCAGGGACGAGAAGGCATGGAGGACAGTGGCAGGATTACTTTTCTTTAGGCCCCTCCTGGCTCTGACAAACCTTTGCCAAGTAAGATCCCCACAGGATCCACCAGCAGCTGAAGTGACTGGGTTGTCAAATGCACAAAGAAATATTTACTTATTTGATTAAACACAAGAGAAGGGGTTGCAATGGGCTCAGACTTATGCTCATCTCATCTCCGGGAGCTTGGTCTGTGCCAGCAGTCTGGGAGTCAGCGGGCTACCTGGAGGTGAGTTACAACAAGCACAGACCCCTGCCCAGCCCCCATGGTCACTGGGGAAGGCAGGCCTGCAGCAGAGGGAAGGTTCAGGAAGCGCCCTCTTCCCAGGCTCCACCACAGCTCATCTTCTGCTTGTTGACCTCACTGTGGCTTGAGAGCTCTCCTTGCTTCGGCTGTGCAGTCCTGAAGCCAGCACTTCCTCTAGGAAACTGACAAGGAAATTTAGCATTACTTTAAGAAAAAGCATCACCCAGACAGAATCTCTTGTTCGGACAGTATGCAGAAGCCCTGATCTCGCAGCTGGGTGTGAAAGCATCTGGGCACACCAAGAGCTCCAGACTGGGATGGGTCCTTTGTGCGCTTTCCCAGGGTCCTGTGTCTTTAGATTCAACCTGTAAGATCTGTTAGGATTAATACTTTAAGTTTGAAATTTCTAGTTAGGAGCCCAGGATTTTTAAGGGCAAAGCTCTCTATTAACTTGGGGCCAGGTTACATCAGCACCTTTTATTTGTGCTCTAGAAATTGCCTCAGAACTTCATTGTGTTTGGAGTCTCTTCCTTATCTGTTCTCTAAAGTGAGTCAAGAGTAACCTTTCCAAGACACAGTTTCTATCCTGTTGTATACTCTCCTCTCTTCTTTGAAAACTTTTCTTTTGCTTACAGAAAAATGTACATAAAGTTCAAAGCCATTCTTTTTTTTTTTTGGCGGAACCAGGGATTGAACTCAGGCCCTTGCACTTGCAAGGAAAGCGCTTATTCCACTGAGCTATCTCCCAGGCCCCTGTTTTTTTTTTTTTTTTAAGCCATTCTTACTGTGGCCTAATACTAAAATGTCATTATTTTGTTCTGAGAACTACTTTGTATTTGTGTACATATATACATATTCATATAGCCCTATGACTTCGATGCTTTTTTATGCTCATTTTTTAAATGAAGAAACAAAGCTACTATATTGCTTTGAAAATTAGACTGGGTCTTATATTAATTTTTGCTCCAAAAAACACACTAGGGCTTGTTTCCAGAGGATGCCTTATTTTTTTCATGTACAGTAATCTGCATTTACTCATGCACAAAAACTACATTTATTCAAATACAGTCATGTCATCTTCTTCTGGAACATCACTGTAACTTCCCAAAGTCCAAATTCTGGCCTGAATTTCTTGGGACTCCACTTCCTGTAGAACTGCTGGTCCCCAGCTCTCGTGTCCAGTCACAGAGCTCTCCTCACAGAAGAGCTTCTTGTCCACACAGCCTGTGCACAGTGCAGTGGCAACATAGTTACCAGTGATTTTATCCCAGGAATTTGAGTGGCAACAAAAATGACACAGTGATTTGTGGGATGATGGCTCAAACAAAAGTAGACAATAATCACAGATACCAAAATTCAGAAAATTATTTTACATGAGTTCATTAAGTATGCCCATTCCAAGAGTCGACATACTGAACTATGAACATTCATATTAGACCTGTCTGTATGATATCAAGTGCACATGTTATTCATGTGCTGTGTCCATCCTCTGATTGGTCATTTATCAACAAGTCTTGAGTTCGTCTGCTTACACAGATGTTCACCTTTCATCCAAAGTTGCCTGCTTAGGTATTTATAAATACTTAATTATAATTTATATCATCATTTGTTTTAAGTATTACTGTCAATATTATTTATATTTAATTGTATATTACTATTTTATAATTCAGTATGTCCTTTGTGTGTTATAATAGTCATACTAAATGTGTGCATCTGGCAGACAACCTTAGATAGGGCTTATTTTCAGGATAGGGTTTATAAACATCCTGAAAGATCATGCTAGGCCCTACTTTGCAGTTATGACTTATATTGAGGGAAATATGGTATAGAGAACACCTGCCAGGGTCACAACATCAAGTGAGTAGCTTAGCTACTCAAACTCAGGCTCTAAAGTCCATGCCCTTGGCTATATACAGCACAGCACGCCCAGCTACCCACAGTCCCCTAAACACACTCTGAGCCTCCATTCCTGCATGCTTTTCTTCCCACTACATCCTATATCTGAGATGTAAGGCTGTACCTTTCTGCTGAAATCATATATATATATATATATATATATATATATATATACTTTTTTTTTGGCAGAACCGGGGGTTGAACTCAGGCCCTTGCGCTTGCCAGGGAAGCACTTATTCCACTGAGCCATCTCCCCGGCCCCTCTTATTTATATTTTAAGGCAAATATTAAAAGTCATTTTTTCTATACTGAGCCAATCACTTGTATCTCCATTATCACTTAGCCAAAGGCTATTTTAGCTCTGTATCATCACCAGGCACTGTACATGTCAAATGCCACCAGGAGCTTCTTAGAGTGGGAGACAGTTTTACTCAACCTGTTTCTCTAGGGGTTAGCAAAGGCACTTGGTAAGGGTATGCTGAAGGAATGAATACAGCTCTCCATGGGCAGGAGAAACTTCTCTATAACATATAGGTTATTTGGGTGACCCTTCTAGATATGCTCGGAACAGAGGTTGGGTGAGTGACCAGGTACTTTATTATTATTACCATTGTTTTACGATTTTAGACCTGGAAGATTCTAGACTTGGAGGTTTAAAATTTCAAACTTTTTTGTAAAAGAAAAAAAAATGTTGGGGCTGGGGAGATGGCTCAGTAGAATAAGCACTTCCCTGGCAAGCGCAAGGGCCTGAGTTCAATCCCCAGTTCCACAAAAAAAAAAAAAAAAAAAAAAGAAAAAAAAATGTAGAATGAAAGGAATAGAAGATAAGTGCATTTGTTCCTATGGAAATATAGTCCTCTCTGGCCTGGCCTTTTGGGCAGTTGAACTGGAAGCATTTGAAGGTCTAGTAATAGTGCCAGGGACTGAGGTAGCATCTTTCTTTTTTAATGTATTTGGTTGTGCAGGGTCTCACTATGTAGCTTGGACTCGTGGTGATCCTCCTGCTTTCAGGCTTCCCAGCACGGGAATTACAGGCATGCACTATTATGCCTGGATTCTGGCTGGCTAGGTGTGCCCTGGGGGCGGGGCTGGCAAGGCACGTGGTGCCAGAGATCAAAGTGCAGTCCCTACGCTTGCCTAAGCAGGTGCTTTAAACTGCTGAGCTATCTTGTCAGCCCTGCATCTTTCCTACTTGCTTACTTGAGGGTACCAAATCAGTGCCCTGTGCTTTTTTGAAAGCAAACATTGGGTTGAGAATAAAACTCAGTGGCACAGCTCCTGCCTGGCAAACATGAGTTTGATTCCCATCACACACACACACACACACACACACACACACACACACAGAGAGAGAGAGAGAGAGAGAGAGAGAGAGAGAGAGAGAGAGAGAGAGGTCTCTGATTGGTGGCTTCTCGTAAGAATGGAGCAAATGTGCTGAGAGGCTCTGTGGGATTTATCAGGTGACTTTTGCTTCATTTCCAAAGGAAGGAATAACTTTGCTAAAATTATACTTAAGATCTTGCTCTACATCAACAAGACCCAACATTCCTGGCTGTAAAGAGAAAACACTACATTTGCCAAGCCTAATTTTGTTTTCTAGGGCCATTGTGCTTTGTTTAAAGGAATCTATTTGGGGAGTTTGATGAGTCATTGCACAGAATGCTTAAAAATTATAGGCAATGAACACTGGTAGCTACACTCTAAATTTAGTCTGTGCTTAAATACAAAACAAAAGAGTGATTTTTAAAAGATTTGCTTTAAGTCAGTCTTCTATGGCATTGTAATACAATTCAATTCGGTTAAATTCAATTTCACTGTTTACTGAGCCTCACTGTCTACTGAACGTTGAACTAGGATACAAATGGGCACGTCGAGCTGGCTCCAAGGTGCTCTTCCCACCCTACCTACCCAAGAAAGGTGGTAGGAAACAGTAGAACTTCTACCTTTACTTTAACAAGTCAAACTCAAAAAGTCCTGAGCTGCGCAATGCAAAGCCAGTGTCCACCCCGTTAGGCCTCTGGCAATGGAACTGGGGACCCCCACCTGGGATGCTGTGTTATGAGACTGTGTCTGCGCACGCGTGCGAGTACTCAGTGCAGCCCCATCTGCCTCCTCCCTCCTGGCATCTGGACTGTTGCCTGCAGGCAAGACCACAGCCTGAGGCGCCGAGGTGCAGTGTAGGCTGAGCAGCCAGGGCGCCCAAGCACGCCTCTAACAGCCCCAGACTCCTTGGCTCAGAACGTCGGAAGACAGGGTTCTGAGTTTTGACAAAAGGAAAAGAAAATATTTGAGGAGACAGGTACATTTATATTGATTTAAACACTGCACAACATACAAATGTATGAAAGAAACATCATGTGGTGGAGGGTGGGTGCGTACGCCTGTCATCCTAGCACTTGGGAGGCTGAGACAGGAGGATCACAGCAAGTTTGAGGCCAGCCTGGGCTCCACAGTGATTTCAAGGCCAGCCTGCACCATATCCCCCACCCCAAAAGCGTATGAACTGGAGGTGGAGGCATGTGCCTGTGTTCCCACTTTTCTGGGTGGCTGAGGATGGAGCACTGCACAGCTGAGCCCAGTTTGGGCAATTCAGTGATGTAGCAAGTGGCTCAGTGTAAAGGCCCTGAGCAACCCCTTTTCACACATGATTTAATGCGGAAAGAAGGAATTTGTAGGGAACAGAAGAATAAAAAAAGACTTTCAGAAAAATCATCATAAGAAAAACCCGATTTATTTGCTTTAGTGCAGTAGTAGGATTTTAGTTATAGTTAAATACCCGGCTAAAGACTCTGGAGTATGGGAGCAGGTGAAGGAGGACAGGGTGGGATTTTTAATAGCTCAAAGCACTGAAAACTCCCCTTCCCTTTCCCTCCATCCCCACTGCTTACAACTTTCAGAGCTATGGCCCATTTCCTGCCTCTGCTCCTTTCTCCCTCCCGTGCTGCCCTGTGAGCTGTGCCTCTTCTCAACCCCACCCCACAGTCCTGCTCTCTGGGAAGCTGGCCTTTCTGTCATTGCCTTCCCTGGTTTCTTCCTCTCATACACTGGGTTGTAATTTGCCTACATGCTGATTTTCCATGTAAAACTAATAACTGGGGGAGGGGCAAGCGATACATGAACACATTCTCTTTGTAGATATTTTATTACTTTTTTATTTTTATGTTTTTGGTTTATGAGACAAGGTCTTGTGATGTAGTCTAGGCTGGCCTTGAACTCATTAGGTTGCCCAGGCTGGCCTCAAACTCAGTTATATTCCTGCCTCTGCCTCACAAGTGCTGGGATTATA